AACGACCCAACGATCGTTGTGGCGTGCGACGTCGCAGGTCAAGCAGATCGACCCAACGATCAGTCGAAGGAACGACCGCACAAACGTCGAAGGGCACGAACGGACCTATCCACCTGAACTTCAGCTAGTTCGAATCGGGCAAAGCCCTCTAAGGTGACCCCCTTAAAATTTGGATCTGGAATCGGACACATCTCCAAGGATCTGGTTGAACTTCTTACTTGTCTTGGACGTGTGCGCGCTGCTCCTCTTGTTGCCCTCCTTCTTTGGCAAGCCCGTGGCTGTTCACGCACCTTGGCAGCGCAACGCTTCTAGCGGTTCGCCGTGTTTCGCAGCGTTGACTGATTGAAACGGATCGAAATCAGTTTTTAGATCGAGAATTTGGGGTCCCAAATGTCACTGAGGTGTCAAGTCACTAGTCAACAACTAGTCGATACTAGTCACCTAGTCATGAGTCCGACCCAAACATTTTCACAAGGTATTCAGTGGGGTGTGATTGGATTCTTTTGAGGAATTTCAAAGATCAGACGTCCTACAACTAAACACCGACTGGTAGTGGTAGTCGGCTGTTTTCACCCATTTGTGCTGTGCCCTCGCGATCTATCCTTGCCAAGGACATCTACTTGGATGAAGGCAAACTGGTTTTGAAGAGCCTCAACTGTGGGATCGGTCCGGTTGAATTGCAGAAAACGAGCACGACTATAATGACTACAACGACAAAGGACAACGACGTACGAAGGACACCGAAATCAATCGTGCGGTGACCTTGAAAGCTGAATGACCTCGAGTTGGGACCACCAAGCACCCAATATACCTGGATCTTCCAACATGTGACAAGCATATGCCTTTTTTCATCCATCAACAACTGCCAAGAGGCAGACATTTGGCATAGTTGGAAGATCCAGGTATATGGTCCAACTTCCTATCACAGGGGTCAACTGTGTAGTACGTGGACCTTCCTTCAACGGGATCTCCGTTCGGCTAGACTACTCTACAGTACTTGTGGATCTCCAGCACCTCGAATTTGAAGGCCCTGGTCGGATGGGCAAGCTCGCCGGGCTATCGAAAGGTGAGGTATCGATGGCACATGCAAGTCGGGCCGGTTGGTCTTTTAGCGAACAGTCACATGCAGACAGGGGAAGTATCATTTTAATCTGCAGAAGTAGATGGAAGATGATCGGATGTGGAACTCTTGCAAATTTGGCTGGTTGGTCCTATTGGAGGCTTGACTTAGCATGAGGCACGCAGCGAGACCACCGTCCCCATTGCGTGCCTTTTTGGGTGGTGTTTGACGCTCGTTCCGACTCCTTTCGTGCCTCGTGCCACGTCATTCCGACCTCTCTTTCCAAGGCGCCTCAAGTTCCGTCCTGCGCCAAAGAGGAATTTTGGTTCACTTCACTGGTGCCCCATGTGGTCGAACTGGACTTCCATAAGGGACATACGTCCCCAAACCCGCCGCCCCCATCGATTTCCCCCCCTTCTGCCGGCACTGAACGGAAGCGCAAGCGCGCGTGGCCGCTCCTGGCCGCTCCGCCCCGAGGACCTGGGGAAGTCATCAGGTGCATCGCTGGGCGCCGTTGCCGGTGAAGATCCGTTTGACCCATACGCATCACTACCTCTTGGAGGAGCCGAATGCGCCGAATCCGTACCGACCGGTCACGGGCCGGAAAGGCGGAAGCTAGGGAGATGCTCCGGTAGGTGGCGGACAGGTCCTGCCGCGGGTGGGTGGCGGACCCTGGAAAGGAGTGAGCGCCCCAAAAAAGCTGGCAGACTCATCATGATCGTGCCGTGCAGGCTGAAGCAGGAGGGCGTTTGAGGCGTGCGGCAGTCCGAATTCTTCCCGAAAGGCATTCCCTTTCAAAGATGGATGTTCTGTGCCCCTCTTTTCTGCCGGTTTTTTTGAGCCACGGTGAGCCACTGGGGGTAAGGGGGAGTCGACCAATCGCTAGGCCTCACAGGCGATAGCAGGAGTCCAAACGAAAACCCTGCACCAAGAGGTGATGGGTCAAAACCTGGAGCCCCAACACCATGTAGCTTGATCTTCCAGGTAGGTGCCACGACCCCCCCAAACCACCGCTAGGAGAAGAACGTCTTCCGCGTGAAGTGGCGGGATCCGGACGAGCTCTACTTATTGCAGGATCAAGGCTTGGAACCGGATTCCCAGGGCTTCCAGGCTGAATCCCAGGAACGTTTTGGGCGAGGTTTTGGTTCTTTTCAGGCAGGCAGGCAACCCACTTCGTTCGTTGCGTCCCAGGCAGCGGCGGCACCGGTCCCAGTGGTTGTTTGGCTGGTCGACCAGCAAACCTAGCCGACCGGGCCCCCGAGGAAACCACCTGTGAGCACCTGTGATCACCTGAGTCCGTTTCTTTTTTCGTGTGGGACCCGTAGTACGGTGCCAGGAAGCGAGACCGGTGATAAAACGAGGTTTGGAAGAGCCGGCTGAGATGGTTTTAGGAGATTGGGAACAGATGCCATGGTAGATGGTGAAGAAAGGAAGTCTTGCTTCTGGCGGCACAGAAATTTTGTTCCTTTGCCATGTTTGAGTTCTTTTTTTTGTGTGGCTGTTTGGGCATCCATGACACCGGGTATCAAAGCCCCGCGCACAGCAACCACTTTCATGGATGATTGTAATCCCTCAAACAATTTCCCACCTGTGGCCCGGGACGTTCAAGGACATTGTGACCGTGCCGACCCCAAAGATCAACACTGAACTGTGTAGTCTAAGCAAAACTGGTGCAGAGTAGAGTGGTTTTCCTGACAGTTTTCCTGCGATATCACATGCATTGCTAGGGGAGCACATCAGCAAGGACATCAATACCTCCAGGGGGCATATGTGGATCTTGCCCAGATGCTGCCTGGTATGGACCTGATTGGGGGGAAGGCGGGCGGAGTCAAAGGATGTGGTACAAAAGGTTTCCAGTGGAATCCTACTGTCACGGTAGCTAGGTGTTTACCGGCATTCGGCCATTCACATGGAAAAATCGAGTGTATATAGTAGTTGCCTTCAGAACCCGTAGGAATCCGCTGTGGCTCCCTCCATGGTATGGGTCGAACTCGCCAGGCAGCCTGGACCGAACTAGTTTGGAACCCAAAGAACCCCCATCCTTTCCCCATCGATGTTCGTCTTCGGGATCCGGACCTTCTCCACCAATCCTGGCTTTTAGGCACCGTCTTTGCAGGGTTGGTACTACTAAAAGGCCGAGAACGTCTGAGATGACGCGAGGTCGAACGGAATTGGGTCCCTCTTTGAAGGTGGTGCTGGCGTCGTTTCCTGGACTTCAGACACATCTCTTCGTTTGACCCAGACTCGACCTTTGACCCTCAGTAGGGGACCCGAATCCTCTGGAGGGGTCCGGACCCGGAACCATTCCCTAGGGTTTTGAGGGAGCAAGGGCTGTTGGGAGCGTCTGGGTATATGGTTTTTCCGAACTCGGGACTGACCGACCTCCAACCCGTGACCCTAAGACTGGGTACCGGGAACGTCGCGGACAGGTTCCCTCTGGGCCAGTGCCACCTGTGGAATTCCTTCGCTCATCGTCCTGGTCTTTCTCCTGGCCGGGGCCGCGGACGGGGTGGGGGACGTTCATTTCGTGCACTGAACATGCACGGTCAACCGGGGTCCCCACATGCACAGCTACCTCTTTCAGCCATTCCCCACCTCATGTTTCGGAAGATCAGGTACGATGCCGGGAGACTTGCAGCTTTTGGGTACTTTTTCCCAAGGTACTTCTCTTCAGCGAGCACCCCAAAGAAGCACCTTTTTAGGTATACATAGAACTCAAAACCGATAGAAAAGTAGATCCCCACCGTGCCACTATAATTGGAGACCAGGTCGTAGAGTGTGCGGACAGGAAGATTGGACGGTGGGTCCATGAATCTTCTCCCTCCAAAGGGATCGAAAAGGAACACCGACGCCCAACTCACGCTCCGACGCCCAACTCGGTTCACTAAGATCACTCCGCCGGATCCACCGTCACTCGTGAAGAGCCGAACGGACAAACCCCGCTGGAGCGGGAGGTCTTTGAGGGCCGACACCGAAACGAACGGCAGGGGGAAAAGGACCCGAAGCAAACCCTGGGTCCCTGGGTGTTGCAACCGGGCCCGGTTATTCTCAGCGCAGTTCATTCATTTCTCATGCCTCACTTGGAGCCTGGAGCCCGTGCTCGAGGCTCCAAGCGATGATATTTTTCGTGCCAAACACTTTTTTGGAGCCACTGTAGATTTGGGGGTTGGTAACTTAGTCAATGTAAGGACACCCTGCAAAACCCAGAAGAGAAGGTTTGTCATTTTGCTCGGTTTGTGGTGTTATTGCAGGGCACCATCAAGTTCAGAGTAGCAGAGGGCAGCGGTAGCTTTGCAATGGCTCACCGGTTGAACGGCCGTTTTTTGGGGGCAGCAGCTTCAGGTGATGGTCGGACCCAGCAAAAGCCCATATGCTGTTCGTTCAGAGCTCATTTCTTCGATTCATAAAGCTTCGGGTACACGACCAAGCTTGGCGGTTGTGCGGTTGGCACTCTGAAAGCACTGTAGGTTTGCTCAAGGTCACGTTCGTCCGTTGCCCCTGTAAAGAGAAACCTATATAAATTCTATGTTGAATCCACATGTATTTCAATCATGTTGCTGTGTATAGGAAAAACACAACACCTCTAGATACTCTAGTCTTCATGTTCGATAAACAAAGTGTCTGTCACCCACTTGAAAGTGTCGATCTATAGAAGGCTTCAGAGCTTTCTTGTCCGTGACCGGTCTGACCGCTGGCGGGCGGCCATGGGCAATGGCAGTCAGCCCTTTGGAGCCACCATTGAAGAGAGTTCGGAAGGACATTCTCTCGAGCGAATTGGTGCAGCGACTCGGTGATGAAGAACTGGACATTCAGGTGGTGGGCGTGGGCGGAGACGGATTCCAGGTCCGAGTGCCCAAGTCCCTCACTTGCTCTGAGCTTCGAAGAATCATCCGGAATCGACTTCCGCTCAAAGCTGGAGCAAGAGTTGTGGTGATGAAAGGCTCTCAGAAGCTTTCATTATCGAAGACTCTGGCCCAAGAAGGGCTGGTGCAAGAGGATCAAGAGGAACCAACTTCTTTGTCCTACGCCTATGAGGTGGCTAACCTGCAGGAGGCTTTGAGATGCATCCGAAAGTGCCCTGTCGACGCTGATGAGTCGATGGCTCTCGAGGGGATACTGCAGCTACGAGGGCTGCAAGAGACAACTGCTCTCAGGCACCTTGTCACCCTCAAGCACCTTGCCTTTGGCGATGGGTTCAACGATCGTTTGGAGGGAGTGGCTTGGCCCAGAGGCCTTCAAAGTCTTTCCTTTGGCTTTGCGTTTGATCAGAGTCTGGAAGGAGTGGCTTGGCCCTGTAGCCTTCAAAGTCTTTCCTTTGGCGAACAGTTCAACCAGAGTCTGAGAGGAGTGGCTTGGCCCAGCGGCCTTCAAAGTCTTTCCTTTGGCTTCCAGTTCAACCAGAGTCTGGAAGGAGTGGCTTGGCCGAGCGGCCTTCAAAGTCTTTCCTTTGGCTTTGCGTTCAACCAAAGTCTGGAAGGAGTGGCTTGGCCCAGCGGCCTTCAAAGTCTTTCCTTTGGCGAACAGTTCAACCAGAGTCTGGAAGGAGTGGCTTTTCCCAACACCCTTAAAAGTCTTTCCTTTGGCAGGATGTTCGACCAGAGTCTGGAAAGAACGGCTTGGCCCAGCGGCCTTCAGAGCATTGAGTTTGTCAGATGGTTTGATGCCCTGAAGAGAGTGAATTGGCCAAGCAGCCTTCAGTGTTTGGTGGTTTTGGACTCGAGATCGGAAGTGGTGGAAATGGATCTTCCTCGGGCTTTGCAAAGGTTTGAGTGCTTGCACGAGGATGTGACGGGCGCGCCAGGACAATGGATGATCTCCACATCGGAGAGTGACGAGTGACGAGTGACGACAGGAGCTCAGAGTGACGACGGACTGTCCGGTCCGTGGCCGCTTCTTCGGTTCTTCGTTTTGTCACGCGTTGGCGCCGGCACCGGCGCGTGGCTCGGATCCGCTCGAGTGAAAAAAGCAGAACATTTGGATGGGAGCCTTTGAACAGCGGCGAAAGGAAGAGAGCCAGACTTGAGGGATTGGCCACACCCTTTCCTCAAATGTAAACAGGGTGGAAAGGAGCCGACATGAGGAGTTCAACCTCTGGGTTCACGGCCCGTCATGGCTCGCTCGTCAGAACGACGTTCGTGCCGGACGTGGACGGTCCTTTCCAACGGACGTGGACGTCCGCTCCGTGGAGTTCATGTCTCCACCATACTTACTCTCCTTGAAACTAACATGGAAGTGGAAAACCACCTGTTTGTAGTGGAACATGGTCTTCCAAGGGGCCATTCTCCACTTCCATGTTGGTTCCAGAGAGTGTACTTACCTCATTCATGTCCCTAATGCAGGTAACTATTTCAGCCCCAGACAGTATGTTATGGTCGTGTTTGGGTATGGACAGCATTCGCTTCTTCCCAAGTGCCGGGCTGTCGCCAATCCGCTTTTGCAGCAACATCTTTGGTTGGTCAGTGGGCCGCCCCAAGCAACTCTAGTTCTGAGCAACTCTACCAGAACCCTCCAACAGGCTGTTTGAAGACCCTAACAGGTGGTTTCTGGGCACCTGTTGTCACCAGGAAACACCTGTTGGAGGGTCCAGGTATCGTTCAGTTTAATGCTTCCCACGAAGTTTGGCCACTTTGGCATGTTTGGCCGGGATTTCAGGGGTCTTTCATGCCGGGCGAACCGTTTGGAACACTCTTTTTCACCAGCGACAAAGACGTTGAATACAACGACTTCGGATGACATGCTGGCTTCGTTTGCTGGTTGATCCATGGAAGACTCAACACTAAGCTCACTCGGACACAGATTGAGCTTCCCGAAGAACATTGGCCCTAGATTCAAATTATGCCCCCAGACATTCTGACGTCACTGGCGTACCACTTGGTTCTCCATTCAGATTGACTCATTTGTACAGTTCAACCAATCCCCAAAAGATTCATCATCAGGTGGTATAGGGGTTACCGGATTACCGTGTTTGGGGTGAATGTCAGGAGGGTTCAAATACCTTCTGAGAAGTTAGTTGTAGCCAATCCGGGAGAATGTTTGAGACAGATCCATCTGGGATGAACGGATGAAAGTCACAACCCACAAAGCCCCGTGCAGTCGGGCACCATGCAGCCGGTCAAGCCAACTTGAACGACCTAGCCAGGTAACTAAGGTAGCTGTGCCCTAGCCCCAGGCTTCCAACGATCATTGATTTAATGGATTACCCGACAGCCATTGGTTTACTAAGTTTTTTGACTACAAAACCAGGTCAAGCTTTCTTTTAGATGGTCAAACGGAAGGGGTTTCCGAGGATGGACATCCCCACAAATACACCAACATCCCTGAAGCCAATGCCTCTCATCCAGCACTAACCCCCCCCGAACGGCGAACATCCGTTCGCCGCTCGTCCGCTCGTCAAACCCGGACGAGGGTGAGGCACCGTTGGGTGGATACGAACCAAAAGACCTGTCCCAGATGTACACTCTCTGGGACTCTCAGATGTTTGTAGGTGTCGTCTCGGGGACTCCTGTGTGCCCGAACGAACAGAAGAACTGGGCGGTTTGCTCCAGTCCTAGGCGCAGGCACAAGCATATGATGGTGCGCATCCTTTCGGCATTCTTAGAGAATCAACTAGAGATGGCTCGCGAAAGAACACGCAAAAGGACGGGATCGCCTTCTTTCCACTATGTTTTTGGCCCAAAACGAGCTAGACCGTTGAACCCGGGTAAGTGCTTGTCCTCCAAAAGGGTACCTTTTTCATTCCTTCGTGGGCTCTGAACATCCCAACTCGAACCTGCCGGTCCGCTCGGATGGGCGATCCGGGCCGTGAGTTCCACCAACTCCGTGTGTTGGGCCGTGTGTTCTGATGCCAGGTGATCCTGGCCTTGTGCCTCTACTGGGCCATCCTCAACGGCATCGGAGAGGCAGAGCAGCCACCATGTTCCGCGCTTGGGGAGCGAACGACGGTGAAGACCCGAAGAGTGGAGGGCGCCCAGTGACTTCAGGGATGCTCAGTGACTTCGAGGGACTTCGTTCTAACACCACCTTCGTTTTGGCTTTCAACTGGACACCCCAAGAAAAAGGACGACTAACACCACCTTCGTTTTTGGCTTTCAACTGACGAAACCAAAGGAGAGATGGTGTTGGGGGGGGGGCGGCAGCCGCGTGGCCGGAACGCCTCCGGTGCTGGACCGCGCTCTTTGCCCTTCGCGGGTCGCGCAGGCCGAAAGGTCGTTCGCAGGTCCTGCGGCGGTCGGCCGTTGTGAGAGGCAAGAGGTGAGGTACCGGTGAGGCAAGAGGTGAGCATATGCCAGAGAACCGTCACAACCGCAAGGGTGGTGTATTAGAGATGTGTAGAGACCATGTGTGTTTCGCTTTGGGGTCGGACCATTCAAAGCAGTTTCGGTGTGTTATGTCCAAAGGGTTCTTAACGGGAGGCATCACCCAGACACTTCGTGGGACTGGAGTAGTTGCCGATCCATTAGGTCAGACATGGGGTAACTCGAAGCAGCGCCGGAAGCTGGACGATTCGGACGATTCTCGGGCGAACACTTCGGGCTTTCACACCCCAAACACCCGTTCGCATGAGGCCGAAACCACTTAGCTAAGGGCAGTGCCGTGGCTTCGGGGTGCGTCCTTCGGCCACTTCGGCCACTTCCGATCCAGTACCCTCTGCACGTCGTGACCTCGTGCCCCGACACTGGCAGCGTCTCGACTCATCGTCTCCTTCCGAACGAAAACGGTCTCGAATGCCCACGAGAGACTCCTGGGGTCTTGGTGGAACGACGGGTCTGTCGTGACCTCGTGCTGCCCTTGAGCTGTGAAAAAAATGTGCTGTCCCATTCTCGCGGACAGTTGGTTGCTATATGATGCTATATGTTGCTATATATATATATATTAGCAATATATTATATATTGCAATGTCCCAGGGATCAGACCCCACTCCTAGTCCTCCTAGTCCTCCTAGTCCTCCTTTTTCTGCTCAACTCCAGACCGACATCGTCCAGCCACCGGGTCTGGTCACGTCACCGTCGACGAGGACCCTCTCGGCCACCGGTCCCACCCGTGATGGGCGGTCCCGCAGAGGCCAAGCACTTGCCTTGGTCGTTGAGCATCGCCTTGTTGGGCGCGCTGGGCGTGCTGGTGGTCCACTACTGGGTGTCCTGGAGAACTGGTGTGGGAACTGCGAACGGGATGGGAGGGTCTTAGATGGGAACCGTGGGTTAAGATGAGAAGAAGTACTTCACCATGCCATCCAGGAACTTCCCAGTGACCTCTTCAGGATTGGTAAGTGTCCTTTTCAAGACCTAGTATACATGACCTCAGCCACCATCTCATTCTAGGTCACTGGGAAGGTCCCGGATGTTGACCCCTTTTCAATCAACCGCCCCAGCTGATCGAGAGTCAGGACTGCCATGCCTGGATGCTCTCCCTCCAAGAAGCATCCAGACATGGAACACCTGGTTCTTGCGTTTTCTTTGTACTAATTTCATCTGTTCAGCTGAAAGGTTGACCAGTTTGGGGACACAGATGCCCCATTTTCGTGAGCTTGTTCTTCAAAAAAGGTTTCCCAGAGCTGCCCAGGCACTCCGTGGGACTGGAAGATATACTTCCCATCTTCCCTTAGAATCCTTGGCAAAAGTCGGACCTTCTCCACCTTCTCCACCTTCTCCACAGGCATCGGAACTCTTAAGAAAACCAACCCCATGTCTTCTCTTTTATGGGGGGCCCCGGTTCCACCGGTTCCACCGGGTCCACCGACTTTTGCCGTGACCATCCGTGGAGGCGTTCACCGCCGTGAAACGCCAAAGGTCTGGCGCAACCAGGTGCTGAGCACGCCGCTGCGGCGTCGACAGGGGAGCTTCAAGCAACGACTCCTCAAGGCACCGACCGACCGGTGGTAACCTGGCGGGTTCGAGGACGACCGGTGTGTGGGGTGTGTGGTGTTTCGGGGCGAGGACGAGGATGGAAGATGTGTCCAAAGAAGGCCATGTTTTTTGGTATAGTTTTTCGCCTTCCAAGAGCGAAAGGTGGAACCTGGTTCTGGTCGTGTAGCATCCACAGTAAAACAAGGGTGGTTCGGCATATTCAATCAATGGTGAAAGCCTGAAGGTAGGTACCTGTCAAAGCAGTGACGAACTTTGGACCACAGCACCAAGACTGACTGTGGACCCTTGAGGTGGCGAGGAACCGACAGATGCAAACTTCTTGCCAATCCTTCATCATTTGTCGTCTGAAACCTGCTACAGAGTACGATACGTGGCACAGTGTGCACAACAAAAGTAACTAGGAAGAGTAGGAATAGCAATGCACTAAAGGAGTACACTAGTAGCAGCAGGAGTTGTACCAGTAGTAGCGGCAGCGCTAGTCTCCCATCCATCTCATCCATCCACACATGGGAAGAAGCATCAAAAAGGTGACCAGGAGTTCCATCTTTCTTCCCCAAACTGTGTCCACACTAGCACTTCTTACAGTATCAGTAAGTTAAGGCCACGGCTGACAAGACAAGACACACGGTTTGGATCTGTTTGGGGTCGCCGGGACTCCGGGTGACTGGGCCACTGGGCCACGCCGCGCCCACCGGAGCCCGCGAGGCCAACCCCAATCCGCAGCCCACGGAGCGAGGCGGGTGGTGCATCCCTGTAGTGTAGAGTAGTCCATTGGAGACCGATCTGTGGCCGGTGCTGGTCATATTCTAACCGATCATGTTACATGTAAAGGATATGTTTTTCCAGGGCCAGATCTCATTTCGAAAGTATATAATCCAGCAGTCACAAAGGGGTGCCTACTAGAGGATAGGGGTGCCCAAAACATCCACTCACGTAAGGGGACCAAACACCACCCCGACATGTGACTCCTGGATT